GCATTTTGCATCATATTCATGTTGTTTCTGGCTGCTTTGGAGTCGTGGAGGTTCGTGGACATGTTGAGACTGATGTAGCAGTTCGGGGGAGCTCGGATGTATGATAAGGATCAGAGATCGAGGAGCAGATCGAGCATGGCCGGTCGATCTAAGAGTTGATCGTGACCAGAAGATCGAGCCAACCAGGCGATCCAAGGAGAATGATCGAGACAAGGATCGAGTGAAGCAATCGATCAAACGGTACGGACGTAAATGACGCCATGCAGAGCGAGAGTCAGATCGAGTACACCACTCGATCCAGCCGAAGATCGATACCGAGATCGGATGCAACAGTCGATTCGCCGATGATGATCGAGACCCAGATCGAGCCAAAGATACGACGTTCGGATATGATCGAGAGAACCGCTCGATCTTGGAATCGATCTCTGTCCTTTCAACCGTTTTTGGCCGCTAGCGAGGGGGGGACCATCAGCTTGTTTCGGCATTTTGGGAAGGCGGCGACGTCCTTTTCCCACAACAACTTTAGATCCTTATCTTTTTCCTTATGTTTTCTCTCTCGTTTTCGGAAAGAACACCATTGTTGAACTCGCATTTTTCTTGTGCTTTGTAATCGAATCATTTCCATTTCAATCTAGTTTTCTTTTCATGTTCATCGTCTCGCTTTACATGCTTTGCTTGATTTACTCTATGTGTAGCGAGTAGTTTATTTGGGTTCGGGGTTGAGAGGATTAAGAGGTCGAAAGGGTTTCGATCTTGGGGTTTTTCTAAACGTTTTCAATGGCTATCTCTTCTAAGGTATTGAGATCTCAATGCTTGAAGACTCTCACGCCAAGAGCTTCATGATCCGAGAGGTTCCTTACCTTGACAGGATTCAGGAGCCTCGGAAGATCACACCTTAAAGACTAGTTACCCCTTCCAAAAGCCATGGAAGTTTGGGGGATTAGTTAAGCCATTCATTTGAAATCTGTTTTCCTTGCCCTTCGACCTCTCTTTCCACCAAAAGCCATGGGTTTGGAGGAGAGGATGAAGGAGTGATCTATATCGAAAGCCACAGATAGATCTTGCTTAGTTTTCAAGGCTTAGAGATCCTCACCAAGTGAGTCGATATAAAGTTTTAAACCCAAGGTCGAACCTTTGAAACCCCTGACCATGAATCTCAACCCTAGGCCCTTTCCTTTAGCATCTTTACATCTTATCTCGTCTTTCGCTTGATCTCTGATAGCATCCTGGTCCTTAGTTTTACTGTTCTTGCATTTTTAGACGAGATCGATTGTTACTGCTCGATCTAGTGGTCGATCTCATGGTCGATCCACTAGTCGAATTTTAATAATTCGAAGCTTTTTCCTTTAATTATTCTGTTTGTTTCTCGTGGTAGTTTCTTCCTTTCTAGTATTTTTAAAATAGGTTTCATTCCATTTAAGTTGCTGCATCTAGTTTTTAGAGATTTTCTCATAAATCATCTCATTTTGCTTAGATTTGCATTAGTCCTTGTATTCTCTGTGCATCATCTATCATCCTAGGCATAGATTGACTCTCTCTTGCTTGCTGTACTACAACATGTCTTGCATTTGAGTTTGATAACCTCACTGCAATTTAATCGTTGCTCAAAAAGTGTTTATCAATAGAGTTTGATTTTAGGGTTTAGGGTTTGATTTTAGAGTTTACGATTTAATATTTATGTTTGGAAATTGAAAGTTAAGATTTAAATTTTATAATTTTCAGATTATGGTATGAGTTTAGGATATGTAGGGTTTGATTTTAGGGTATAGGGTTTGGTTTTAAGGTATATGGTTTGATTTTAGAGTTATGATTTAATATTTATGTTTATAAATTGGAAGTTTAAGAACTGAAGTTTAATTTTCAGACTATGGTTTGAGTTTAAGATATATAGGGTTTGAGTTTAGGATATATAGGATTTGAGTTTAGGATATATAGAGTTTAAGTTTAGGATATATAGGGTTTGGTTTTAGGGTTTAGGGTTTGGTTTTAGGGTATATGGTTTGATTTTAGAGTTTATGATTTAATATTTATGTTTATAAATTGGAAGTTTAAGAATTGAAATTTAATTTTTAGATTATGATTTGAGTTTAAGATAAATAGGATTTAAGTTTAGGATACATAGGATTTGAGTTTAGGATATATAGGGTGTGATTTTATGGTTTCGGGTTTGATATTAATTAGGATTTATGGTTTGATTTTAGAGTTTATGATTTAACATAGATCTATTTATAATATTTAAAAAATTAAATTTACAAATAAAATGTCACAAAATTTTAGTATAGCACAACATTTTAATATAGCACATAGAGCTATTTTTTATAAACCACGAAATAGATGTGATTAAAATGTGGCTTTTTTTGCCACATCATTTTCATAACAAACACGTGACTAATTTTGTCACGAAAAAGTCACAGATAGTCACAGTTTATGGTTTCGTGATAATTTCATAACTTTTACGTGACTATGTTAAAAAAAACCACAACATGACCGGAACAATTTCGTGGCTATAGGCAGTTTTTTTACTAGTGATTCTTGCACTATATGTAGCACTTGCACTATATGTAGGTTTGATCTAATCCAAAACTATGAAACAAAACTTGGCAAGCTTAGCGAATTGAGTCACTGTGACTACAAGAGTGTTGGAGGATGCTCTTACGTGAAGCAACTCAAGGCAGACTAAATGAATCTCTCTTTCTCTCTAAATGAAAATTTTATATCTCACTATATAAGTACGCTTGGGTTTTTATTCCTTTTATGGTTTGTCTTTTAAACTGGTTTAGTGAGTTTTCAATATCTCTTATGTGTGTCATCTATACTCTATAACGGAATTTTGTTACGGAAGACAAAATCAAATTTCTTTCTTCAAGAGAGATTATTGATTCCTCAAGATCCTGAAAAATGAACCTCCAAGAAAGCTATGAAATTTTTTGTATCTTAAGAGGCTTCATTTTCCCAATGTCGGGGACTAAAGTTTTTGTTCTTTGTTTATTTGGCTTTATCTCTGTTAGTTGCAACTGAAATTTTGAGGATTCAAAAACCCTATAATTGAATTAACTTAGTCCTTTGTCCCTTCTTTGTCTGATTGATCCTGGTAATTTGCTCTCTACTAAGTATTTGCTTCATTGTCCCGATTGATGTCTAACGTTGGGTACTTTGCTCCATTTGTTTCTTTATCCCCTCTTTCTCTTCTTCCACCACGTTAAATTGTTCCTCAACTTAGCCATATAATAAATCCAACTTTTTCAAATGAGAGTGCTATGACCAAGACAGGTTTAAATGGGAGTGTAGAAATCAATATCGTCCAGTCGATGATAATAGTTTAGTTCGGTTACATCAGAGACGAGTAAGGCTTGTTTCGTCTTCTTCGGGTGCGTTAGAGAAATACAAGCAGCATAAGGTAACTAAGTCTAGCATGAAATGATTTTGAGCTGAATGTGAAGACCACAATGTTACTTTGACGCAAAAAGATGCAATTAGTTCTGAAATAACAATCCAAAATAAGATCCATCAGAGAAGCAAAATAAAATTGACTTCTATTTTAAGCTGTTTAAAGATTCCAAAATGAACTAAACACAACAGGCAAAGACACTACTCTACAACCGGCAGCATGGGAGCTTCTTCGGGCAGCCAAAGAAGCAGCCTACAGCCGCCAATTTCGAACTTGCAAAGGTACAACAAAACATCTCCCACAGAAGCACAATAGAGGCTGAGATTGTTTTTTTTTTTTTTTTTTTGCTTAATTGTAAATAGAAATGATAGGTTACAAAATGTGTTAACAATTTGATCTACCTAAAAAGATTGGTTCCATAGCAAAAAAGGATAAAAAACATAGAAATAAAAGCAATCAGTCATTTATCGATTCAGTTGCGGTGAAGCAATTGATGTAACAAAGAAGCGATAGTGAACATTGAAGGTGCAGAGGAAACCAAAACAAAAAAAAGCTGAACAAGATAGACATATTGAAGTTCCTAAAGCCGGCTCCTAAGCAGAACAGAAGTTATTTCACGTAAGCCCGAACAGAGTCTTTAAACAGAGAGGCTGAGATTGTTTTTCTTCAGTAGGATTAGTCATTAGACTTGACTTATCTTAGATTAGTTATGACTTAGGTTTTGTGTTCGTCATGTCATGCTGTAGCTGTTCGTTTGCTTTCCTTGTTTGGACTTCTTATGGCTCCGAGAAAAATTCTTTTCTTTTTTTTTGCCGGCGCGGGAGCAGCTACTCCATGCTTTGGCTGAGGGGGTGGGGGCAGCCTAAGCCTGATAGAGGCCTTACCGAAAATATTAACTATTGCCGCCGGTATTTGTATTTTTCGTGGGCTTAATAATAAAAACTATGGATGAAAAAATAATAAATAAGAAGGCTCAGTAATTGAGAAATATTCTGGGTTCATTGAACCTTTGCTCGATTTTCTTCAATAAATGTCTAGAACTGGATGAAACGTCTCTTTTACAAAAATCTCCCCTTTTATTAATAAAAAGCCAAAGCATATGTTTCTTCTCCTTCTTTGAGCATTTAGCGACTTTGTTTCTCTGCGTCGATCCGTTAGGCGTCGGCGTCTTTGACAGGTGAAATTGAGAGAAACTCGACTTTCGTTTTCCTTATTCCTTTGATTTTTAACTTTTCTGTGTGATTTTCTTTTGTGGTTTAAATCTTGGGTTTCTATGGAGAGGTCTAAATGGGTTTTTTTTTAGCTTCCCAAGATTTAGTGAAATTCTCAGAGAAAAACACAATGCTGTTTATCCTCGAAATCTTAAATCAGAAACTGATGCTTTGTAACAAATTGAGATGTTTAAGAATCAAATTACTCCATGCAATATTCTCAACGGTTTCTCTAGATCTGAATGATTTCTGATAATTAACTGATGTTGTGGGTTTCTTAAAAGGCTTTATTTTTGATCGAAAAGAGTTAGTTTTGCTTCTTTCTTCTGGCTGATGATTAGACTACTCTTGTGTTATAGGCAGTGTTGTTGGTTCGTTTCTGGGATCTGCAAACAAACTAAATGTCCCGTGAAAGAGTTCCTTTGATGGATCTGAAACGAGCTTATGATGTTGAAGAAGCGGTTTCTTTACCAAACACAAACCAAGATGATGATGATGATCTTTGGCCTTTATGTGAGATTGATACGAAAAAGGGGATATTCCCGTGCTGTATCGTCTGGACTCCTCTCCCTGTTGTCTCTTGGTTGGCTCCTTTCATTGGTCATGTTGGTCTTTGCAGAGAGGATGGAGTCATTCTGGACTTTTCTGGTTCTAACTTTATCAATGTCGACGATTTCGCATTTGGTCCTCCTGCTCGGTATCTCCAACTCGATAGAACTCAGGTATCCATAGTTATCTGCTTCTCTATTCAATAAAAATCTGGCTTAACTTCGATGGTTCATGAAACTTTGATTAGATAACAGAACAACTAGCTTTTTTGGCTTTATCTTTTGGGTCAGTTCTGTATCAAAGATGAGACCTTTTTGATCAAACAGAACAACTGACTTCTTTGTCTTTATGCTTTGTGTCAGTTCTTTATCAAAGATAAGACCTTTTTGATCAAAGATGAGACCCTTTTGATCAAAGATGAGAGACATTTCTTCTTATCTTTAACGATGTTCACTGGAACGAATGTGTGTGTTTTGTTGCAGTGTTGCTTGCCACCAAACTTGGGTGGGCACACGTGCAAGTATGGATTCAAGCACACCGAGTTTGGAGCTGCGGTTACATGGGATGATGCGCTGAGCACGAGCGCACGTAGCTGTGAGCATAGAACCTACAACCTCTTCACCTGCAACTGCTATTCGTTTGTTGCAAACTGTATGAACCGTCTTTGCTATGGTGGCTCAATGGAGTGGAAAATGGTGAACGTTGCTGCTCTAATTTTGATGGAAGGGAAATGGGTCAGCGCCGGATCGGTGGTCCGGTCATTTCTGCCGTGTGCTTTGGTCACGTGTCTCGGTGTTTCGCTCGTCGGGTGGCCGTTCCTGATAGGCCTCTTCTCATTCTCGCTGCTACTCATCGCGTGGTTCATAATTGCTACTTACTGTTTTAAGAATATAATCTGTTGATGCAGTAGAGAGAAACATATGTTGATACATCATGTTAATCGTAAGAATTGTTCTCTTTTCCTTTCGCCATCATATCTAGCTTTGAACTCAATTTTATACAAACACCATTTTCTTCTCCCTAGATTATCGGAGTGGTTAGGTTTGATGACGTTATGGAGTGATCTAATACAATTTTTTTTTTTAAAAGGAATTAGTATTTATATAAACCTTTATCTGTGAAGCGATTTTAAGGAACAGAGCTCTTTCATAGTAAACATTACTTAAATATTCTTAATCAAAAAATCGCTAAATCTATTTTAACATTTTCCAAAATTTTAATATTCAGCATTCAATTAGATAAATCTGTTTAAAATATACAATGATAAAGTTGTATCTTTGTTTATGGATACCATATACAAAATTTAGTAATATCTACATTCTTTTTTAGTCGGTTATACAAAATTTGGTAATATCTAATTTTTTTTTAGTCGGCAACAAGTAAATAAACTATCATTTTCTAACCTAATAAACTCTATATATACCACTAAATCTAGGTTTTTTATTTTACGTGATCATCAGCCATATTTCTTATGTTTATAAATTTGTTTGTTATTTTTGAATTTGATGTGTTCTTCATATTATGGTATATCTCTTTATTTATCTTTGATTTTTTTAATTTGGTATGAATCTTACTTACTCTGTGTTTTAATCCGTTACAGGGAGATCTTGGAACGCCGGAGACAAAAAGAGGATAAAAGAGTTATATAATGATGTTTCTGATATTATTGCTTAGTTCTTTGACTTTTGTTTTTGTTTGATATGAAGAAATTAAAGCAGAGATCTTTCTCAATTCTCAGCGGAGAAATATTTGTTCTTTTTTCTTTCTTAGATCGTGGAGAAAGATCTTCCAACAAAGAAAGTATTGCTTTGACTATCAATTTGTCTCAGCCTATCCAGATAATTCTTTCTTCTCTAGATAGGTATGTATTTCGTTTTACTCTTGCTTTTATAGATCTGGGTTCTTCATCACAATTGTTTTCACAGTTTCTTTTTAGCATTGATTTGTTTCTTATTTTTCTTTTTTCTTTTGTTCTCTTTGGATTCTTTGGCTTTGCGATCTTTTTTTGACAAAATATTAGTTTGCTTCTTATTTTAGTTTTGTGGCTTTGTGTTTGGTATTTTGGGGGTTTGCTGCTGGATCAAGCAATAGATCATTAAGGTATGGATATATTCTGCATATGTTTTCGTCTTATGCTTAGCATAAGATCTCACCGAACGTGATCTCCTTGCCGTTTTTGGACAGTAAGTTATTGCTATAGAGCTGATTCAGTGTTCTTGATACTCTCCAGATATTGGATTTTTATAAGCTTTTGTTTTTAACTGGATTTGTAGATATGGTGAAGTTGTTGATGTCAATATCATCCGAGACAAGGCTTTTGGAAAATCCCAGGGTTTTGCGTTTCTTGCATAAGAAGATCAAAATACCACTTTTGCTGTTGGTTAGTCAAAACTCAACTTTTAATGACTCTCTCTACGCACACTGGTTCTTAAGGTGTTTTAGTTTGCTTACATTATGAGTTTCTACATTGCAGATAATCTGAATGAACCTCAGGCGTTGGGGCAGACCATTACAACAAACACATTTAGCAAAGAGACGAGGATGAAAAGACGCAAAGCAGAACAGGGAGGCACGTGCTGTATGAAAAAGTAAGTGGACAAAGCTCTTTGGATATATGATCGGTTTAAATTAAATTTATAGATTTTTGGTAATATCAGATCTAACTCTTTCCACCTTTCTCCATCGACTTTCTGGGTCTATAGGCTCGATTCAGAGATGAAGGTAGTAGATGGAATTAATGGAGAATCGATCGGCTTTGGAACGTAGCCTGGAACCTGTCTCCTCTCACGCCGATGGTACTACACCGGTTCTTGCTTCGTGCAGTGGCGATAACACTGTAGGAATCTGGTAAGAGAGCTCTCTCGCTCATGGACCTGCAGGGTATTTCTCTAACTATTGCTTTTTGACCTTAATAATATCGTGGGGTTTGTTCCTATTCTCTAAGAGCTTAAGAACTAACAGAACAAACCTTTTGTTTATACTAATTCCATCTTTTGTTGCATCCTTCCTTCGGTTTTAGTTTCTCACCATAATGTTTTACTGGACTATCAATGCGGAAGATGAGATTACACATGGTATGTTTGTGTGGTTAGGGGGTCATGAGGTTTTTCTGTTGTTTGTGGTTACATAATGTTTGTTTCAAACTTTGGTACGTTGGGTTTATGTTGCTTATGCGAGTTATATACGTTTCTGTGTGTTTTTTCAAAATCTCTTTTGCTTTTCGATAGAGGGTTAATTAATGATCAACTAATTGGAATAAAACAGGTTTTGATTGATTTTTAGTATTTTTGTTTGTGACCAAGTTATGGTTTTGTTTACCATGTTCTCACTATAATATAGCTTTTCTGTGAATGTGTAGTTGTATGAGTAATAGGTTTCTGATCGGTTCTTTATGTTCCTTGGTTTGTTTTAGGGTTTCCTTTGTACCTTTTTTGGTGTTTCATTTGGTGGTTGAAAGTGTTTGGATTTGTGTACATGACCAATAATGAAGTCTGTGTTTTTTTTTTTAAAGTGTGTATGTGACCGGTAATGTTGTGCTTTTCTGTAACAGGTTTGGTGTTTGGTGATGGTTGTCGGGTATGCGCTACAAAGAGATGTGATAGTTCTGATATGGGTATTTTTTGGGATGGTGTTATGATTTTACGCATGATGTGCGATGTCGTTTTGTATCTTGAGTGGATATAAAATATACGAAATCAGAACGATAGTCGTTTAAGCTGTATAAAATATTGATTGGTATTCTCTAAATCTAATTTGTGACCAACAAAGGAATTGAGATTTTGTTAATTTATCGTATATATCTATCGTTTTCAGAAAAAGTTTCAGATTTTAGATATGAATAACGTTTTGGTTGAAATTTTTATAATATATTAGTTTAGAGTAATTTGCAATAATATATTAGTTTATGAAACTGTTATTTATAAAAATAAAATTTCTTACATGTATATTATTGGGGATTTAGTGATGAAATTCGCAATGGACAAGCTGATGAAGAGGCCAACCATAGATGGACAGATTTTTTATGTAGATGTTTTCATAAACATTGTTGATCAGATTTTTCATTAGATGAGTTCAGAGGACTCCTTGGAGAGGACGTTGACTACTTCTACAGCTGAATATGAACATTTAGATGCTGCTGCAACAGAGTACACAAAGATAATAGATGCTACTGCACAAGTGATACAACTGGTTGCACAAGATGAACTTGTCTCCACATCTGTGAAAGCTGCCAGAATGGGTGATTGGTTTGCAGCAAAAACACCAAAAATTGAGCTTAAACAGCTCCTTGCAGGGCTAAGATACGCATTTCTTGGAGAAAACTCCACCTATCTTGTTATTGTTAATGCTTCATTGAACAATGCAGAGCTCACCCTTTTGCTAAGTAAGCTGCGAAAATTTTGCAAAGCTCTTGGCTACTTTTTTGATGACATTTCAGGTATCTCTTCAGACTTGTGCATGCATAGGATACACTTGAAAAATGAGTCGAAATCATCAGTTGAGCACCAGAGGAGGCTGCATCCGAATTTGCAGGATGTGGTCAAGAAAGAGATCATGAAGTTGTTGCAGGCTGGTATCATCTATCATATATCAGACAGTGCTTGGGTGAGTCTAGTGCACGTGATGCCTAAGAAAGGAGGTATCACAGTGGTGAAAAATGACAAGGATGAGCTGATTCCAACCAGGACTGTGACATGACACATGATGTGCATTGATTACAGGAAACTGAATGCAGCAACAAGGAAGGATCATTTTCCTCTACTTTTCATCGATCAGATGCTAGAGAGGCTGGCAAATCACAAGTATTACTGCTTCATTGATGGGTATTCAGGCTTCTTTCAAATCTCCATCCACCCAGATGATCAGGAGAAGACCACTTTTACCTGTCCCTATGATACTTTTGCATATCGCATAATGCCTTTTGGGCTGTGTAATGCTTCTGCAATTTTCCAGAGATGCATGATGTCGATCTTCACAGACATGATAGAGAAGTTTATGGAGGTGTTCATGGATGACTTCTCTGTTTATGGGTCCTCTTTCAAAAGCTGCTTGGATAATTTGTGTGCAGTTCTGCAGAGATGTGAAGAGAAGCATTGGGTTTTAAACTGGGAGAAGTGTCATTTTATGGTTCATGATGGTATTGTGCTTGGCCACGGAGTCTCAGCAGACGGTATAGAAGTGGATAGGGCGAAGATTGAGGTGATGACAAATCTGCAAGCACCTGATTCAGTCAAAGCAGTGAGGAGTTTTCTGGGTCATGCGGGCTTCTACAGAAGATTCATCAATGACTTTAGCAAGATAGCACGCCCCCTTACTGCTCTCCTCTGCAAAGATGTGAAGTTTGAGTTCACATAAGAGTGCAAATCTGCCTTTGAACAGATGAAGCAAGCTTTGGTTACAGCTCCTGTTGTGCAGCCACCAGATTGGGACTTACCTTTTGAGGTAATGTGTGATGCCAGCGATTTTACTGTTGGAGCAGTGCTGGGACAGAGGAAAGACATGAAACTCCACGCCATCTACTATGCAAGCAGGACTTTGGATGATGCTCAGAAGAATTATGCAACTACTGAGAAGAAATTATTAGCTGTTGTGTTTGCTTTTGAGAAGTTCAAGCAATATCTTGTTGACTCCAAGATCGTGGTTCATACTGACCATTCAGCACTGAAGTATCTAATGCAGAAGAAGGATGCAAAGCCAAGGATGTTGAGATGGATCCTGCTTCTTCAGGAGTTTGATATTAAAGTGAAGGACAATAAAGGTGTTGAGAATGGAGTTGCTGATCATCTATCCCGGATTCAGGTCGAAGACAGTGTCCCAATCAATGATTTCTTGCCTGAAGAGAATGTCTACTTGGTGGAAACAAGAGAACAGGAGGAAAGTATTAAAAACCTGCAGTTTTCTCGAAACTGCAGGGGAATGACGAGCGACACCAGGAGGGTGACGATCATCACCAACCCAGAACAGTCGCGACCAAAGTGTACGAAAGAGGTGACGCTCGTCACCAATATTGGTGACGCTCGTCACCAATCTCTACACTTTTCTGCGATTTGTGCAAGCTTGGAGATGGCTTTTGAAGGGCCTGTTTATGCTCTGGTATGCTGATATTGCCAATTACCTTGCTGCAGAGGATGAACCACATGACTTCAAAGGCTATGCTAAGAAGAAGTTCTTGAGAGAACTTAGGAGATTCTATTGGGATGAGCCATACCTCTACAAACATTGTGCTGATGGGATCTACAGGAGATGCATAGCAGAAGAAGAAGTGCAGGACGTCCTCTTTCACTGTCATGGATCAGAGTATGCTGGACACTTTGCTACATTCAAGACTGTCTCTAAGGTATTGCAAGCTGGATTGTGGTGGCCTACTATGTTCAGAGACGCCCAGGCCTTCGTTACAAGCTGTGATACTAGCCAGAGAAGAGGAAAAATCAGCAGGAGACATAAGATACCACATAACTTAATTCTGGAAGTTGAAGTCTTTGATTGTTGGGGTATTGACTTCATGAGACTTTTTCCCTCATCTTATGGGAATAGATACATTCTGGTTGCTGTTGATTATGTATCTAAGTGGGTGGAGGCGTTGGCTACTCCCACTAATGATGCTACAGTGGTTTTGAAGCTGTTTAAGACCATTATCTTTCCTAGATTTGGTGTCCCGCGGATTGTCATAAGTGATGGTGGTTCTCACTTTGTCAATAAGGTTTTTGACAAGCTGTTGAAGAAGTATGGTGTACAGCACAGAGTAGCCACGCCCTATCACCCCCAAACAAGTGGGCAAGTTGAGGTTTCCAACAGGCAGATCAAGCAGATTCTGGAAAAGACAGTTGGGAAGACAAGGAAAGATTGGTCTGTAAAGCTGGATGATGCATTATGGGCTTACATGACAGCATACAAAACGCCACTTGGGACTACACCATTCCATCTTCTCTATGGCAAGGCGTGCCATCTACCAGTAGAGTTGGAGTTCAAAGCAGAATGGGCCATCAAGAAGCTGAACTTCGATCTGAAGCCTGCTGCAGAGAGGCGTTTGATTCAGCTCAATGAACTGGATGAGATCAAATATCTGGCCTATGAAAACTTTAAGTTATACAAGGAGAGGACAAAGGCATACCATGATAAAAAGATCATCTCCAGGCATTTCGAGCCCAATGACCAGGTATTACTCTACAACTCTCGTTTACAACTTTTTCCTGGTAAATTGCGTTCTCGATGGTCAGGTCCTTTCACTGTCAAAGAAGCTCGCCTACATGGTGCAATTGTCCTGATTAACTCCAAATGAGAGGAGTTCACTAATGGACAAATAGTGAAGCATTACTGGGCACAAGCAGAGATTCCAGCAGGACACATTGTGTCTCTGGATGATGCACCAGCTGTCTAAACAGCCAACCAAAGTCAAGCTAATGACTTTAAACAAGCGCTTAGTGGGAGGCAACCCACTGGTAAGTTGTAAATATTGTACTTAGTTTTGATTTTTTCGTGCTTATGATTAGTAATTAGAATATTATTCAGCAAAAAAAAAAAAATTGGTGACGATCGTCACCCTTAAGGTGACGCTCGTCACCCGTAGAAGTCGAGCACGAGTACGTACTCTTCTTCTTCTTCTTCGTTTGGTTTACTCCTACAAAGTAACGAACACATAGAATATTTTGAGGTTTCATAACTTTCGATTTTCCAAACCAAATTGAGTGATTTAAGAGTCTAATCCGTGCGGATTTTGCTCCTCTTTCTGAATATCAACTCGATTTTTAAGATCTGCAAGGTATATGTTCGGAATCCCCAATTTTCAGTCCGCCATAGGTTTGGTAAAATCCGATTTTTGACTTGATTAGCTTGATTTAACTGTTGAATCATGGTTAGTTAGGTTGTATTAGAAGAATGGAACCATCTATGTGAGCTTTTATCGGTTGATTTGCAAGTTTTGAATTTTCGAGTTCATGATGAAATTTGCAAAAATCTGGAAATTTTGGGTGATTTGGGTTGAACTGATGCTTGAATTGTGTTCTTGGTAGTGCTGTAGTTGAAAAATTTTGTTAATTTTGGTGATGTTTTTGGTCGATTTTGAACTTGAATTTTCAGATGCCTAGACAGAAGACACGACCAAGGCA